TGTGTGTTATTGCTCCGAAGACCTCCCAGTGGGACAGGATGTGGTGGTAGAAGATGGTGATATCGATGATTCTGATCCTGTATAGGCCTGGTCTAAGATGTGTGTTTGTGTATTTGTGTGTTGGTCTCTTTAAAAAGAAAAAGTTTAAGAAGTAAAAAAAAAAAATTAAGAGGGCCAGGTGCGGTAGCTCAAGCCTGTAATCCCAGCACTTTGGGAGGCCGAGGCGGGTGGATCACGAGGTCAAGAGATCGAGACCATCTTGGTCAACATGGTGAAACCCCGTCTCTACTAAAAATACAAAAAGTTAGCTGGGCATGGTGGTGCGTGCCTGTAATCCCAGCTACTCAAGAGTCTGAGACAAGAGAATTGCCTGAACCCAGGAGGCGGAGGTTGCGGTGAGCTGAGATTGCGCCATTGCACTCCAACCTGGGTAACAAGAGCGAAACTCCATCTCAAAAAAAAAAAAAAAAAAAAAAAAAAAAATTTAAAAACAGAGAAAGCTTTTAAGATAAAGATACAAAAAAGGAAAATATTTTTGTACAGTGTTAATGTGTTTGTGTTTGTTTTAAGCTGTGTTCTTACAAAAGAGTCAAAAAGTTAAAAAAAAGTTTTAAAGTTTCTGGTGAAACCCTGTCTTTACTAAAAATACAAAAATTTGCTGGACGTGATGGCATGTGCCTGTAGTCCCAGCTACTCAAGAGGCTGAGGCAGGAGAATCACTTGAACCTGGGAAGCAGAGGTTGCAGTGAGCTGAGATCATGCCATTGCACTCCAGCCTGGATGACAGAGTGAGACTCTGTTTAAAAAAAAAAAAAAATTATAAAGTGAAAAAGTTGCAATAAGCTAAGATAATTTATTATTGGAGAAATAAAAAAAATTAGAGAAATTTTATGTAGGCTAAGTGTAGTGTTTAAAATCTGCAGTGGGGTATGGTAATGTCCTTGGTGTCCACATTCACTCACCACTCAGTCACTGACTCACCCACAGCAACTTCCAGTCCTGCAGTCCCCATTCATAGTAAGTGTCTTACACAGGTGTAATATTTTAAAACTTTTCTATGGTATTTTTACTGTGTCTTTTCTATAGTGAGGCACGTTTAGATATATAAACACTTACCGTTGGGTTACAATTGCCTACTGTATTCAGTGCAATACACACTGTATAGGTTTGCAGCTTGGGTGCAATAGGCTGTATCCTATAGCCTAGGTGTGAGTAGGCTGTATCATCTAGGTATGTGTAAGTATACTCTGTGATATTCCCACAACAATGAAATCACCTAATGACATATTTTTTCAGAATGCATCCTCGTTATTAAGTGACGTGTGACTGTAAAATAATGAGTGCTGGTAAGTCTGGGGTTAGGTTTTGGCCTGGATCATGGATGTTAGCCACATGAATCTGTGTCACATTTTCTAGAAAGGAATTTGGCAAGATGCAACAAGAGCACATTTACTGTAATAGGGAATTCATTCCAAGGAAATAATCAAAGATGCACATGAGAATGTATGTATTCTTGCAGGAAAGCTGCAAACATGTTTTTGTTACAAAGTTATTTGGAACACTGAAGAGCTGGAAACAACCGAGATGGCCAGCAGCAGGGGATGGCTCAATAAATGACAGTGTATGCAATAAAATGCCATGCAGCCAAAAAACAAACACCCTGTCTATCTGAGGAATACACGGTAAGATGGAAACAAAGCATCCCCACAAATAAAAGCAGGATATAAGATATACTTCAAATTGTGTCTTTTATATATATATTAAAATACCAGGAGGAAATACACCAAAATTTAACAATGATTATCTTTGAAAGGTTAAGGGATTGATGATTTTCACTTTTTAATATTTCTGTATTTTCCAAATTATATAACAAACATAAGTCTAATCATCTGAAAAAGTTTTTTTTTTTTTTTTTTTTTTTTTAGACAGAGTTTCCCTCTGTTGTCCAGGCTGGAGTGCAGTGGCATGATCTCAGCTCATTGCAACCTCCCCCTCCATTGTTTAAGCAGTTATTCTGCCTCAGCCTCCCAAGTAGCTGGGATTACAGGTGTGCACCACCATACCCAGCTAATGTTTCTGCATTTTTAGTAGAGAAGGGGTTGGCCAGGCTGGTCTTGAACTCTTGACCTCAAGTGATCCACCCACCTTGGCCTGCCAAACTGCTGGGATAACAGGTGTGAGCCACCATGCTTGGCCTGAAAAAGCTATTTTTAAATAAAGAAAATAACCTTCGTCCCTGTGCCTCTCTTGTCTCCCTCTCCAGTCCAGTTGGCACCAGGTCACAGAGCACATAGAGATCCCTGGGTTACAGCACACTGCAGGTAAATACAAACCATCATTATAAATTGCCCACTTGTCTAGACTCTTCTCAAAAATGTAGGCAGGGTTACATGGCCATGTGGGTCAACAAACAAGAAGAGCTTGTGAAGGATCAGCACTTTATTCTCCAATCTGGCTCAGGTATGTAAATATTCCTTATTATCCATTGCCTTTGGTTTATTAGCCATTGCATCGTCCTGAACTGCTTTGTGACATGAGCTGATAGCATTTTTTGCCCCAGGGGAAGGGTTAAACTATGAGAAAAGAGGGGTGAATTAAACAAGGAAGAAAAACTATCAATATGTCATAAAATATACATACTATTTCTAATTTATTCCTGTCCATTTGAGGCAACATGTCTAATGTGTTACAAACATTTCTGGTAATACAGTATTGTTGTTCCCTTTAATAATGTGTTAGTGTCTGTAACTCTCATTTGGCCTTGGTGAATTATTGCTTTATTTAATGAAAAAAAGATAAATTGTACTTGATTTGTATTTATTAATTTCTATGAATTTGGTATATGACATTTATGAAAGCTTAGGCACATAATTTTTCCTTTCTTTAATTTACAGCCAGGGAACTGTTTAAATATAATTTTAAATGACACATAAAATGCTTCCTGACATATTTGTTTTCTGAATTTTCAACATGCATATTTGCCATTTCTATGTGATGAACAAACGCTGTCTCAAATTGTGAAGAAAGAAAAATGTTACCTGTTTAGAATTCCTTTATTAAATTTTAGCTCTTGGATTTTGGAGGCAGCAGACGGAGTTTCCTGGAGGTTGATAGGTTTAGTTGCAACTGCAGTCTAGTTCATGCTAACTCAATTTGATAGGTAAGCTTTTGCAGCTGTAGCCATCATCAATTTGGTGCAAAGCCTTGAACAAAGTCTAAAAATAGATATCACTTTGATAGCATTTTGGTGGGCTAGCAGTTAAAGAATAGATGAAATACACTTCTTAAAACTATTGTTTCTCTGATTATTTTCTAAGTATAAAACAGCTTTTATAATATTTATATTTAATTAATTTAAATGATTCTATTTTTCCACTTCTGTATTATGGTTGTATCAATTCACAACTCTTTTGAAAAAAAACTATAGGGCTGTTGTTCAAATAATGTTATTCTGAAATTTCAGTTTTTGAATTTTTAAATAAACACAAGCTTTCTGTGGTGTGTTTTCTTTCATATAAGAGTCAACGATTTATTTTACTTTATTTTAAATAGGAACATATTCAAAAGAAAATAATCACTAGCTCTTTTATGAGCAATCTGTGAATAAAGAATGGAGATGCTCAAAGAGCTGCTCTTCTCCTGACTTCTGTCATTAAAACAGATGTTCTCTATAACCTTGACCAAACAACTTCATTCTCTAATCAGAAAGAGCAGACTTGTTTGTGAATGTATGATGGATGTCTGTGCCAGACCCTGGAAGACTGTCTAGGCCCTAGCCCTTACAGACTCATTTTTGTGCTGAAATTTGGCTTGTAGTTCTAGTTTTAACTTGTTTTCTATATTTTCACCCAAACATGGTTTTCCTTGTTTTTTAAAAAACAATTTTCTTATTAATTGGATATTCCTGATGTATTCATCACAATTATGAGTAGCTATAGCTTTAAATATATGATGGACTTGCTGATGTCAGCCGCTGAAAACTAATGCTGCTGATATCAGCTGACAGGACTCTAATTACTAGTTATGTGGCTGTTGCCTGCTTAAGAAGCTATTCAGTGAGTTATGATTTAGAAAAGCTGGAGAGCACAGGGCTGATTTGTGAAGAGATATCTAATATGAAAACACCACAGAAGTTCTCAGATTGATCCTCACGACAGAGATCTGTCTAATTAGGAATCGTCTATTTTAATACTAAACCACAAAAAAGCCCAGCTGGAAAAGAAGAATTTATAGGAAGACACAGAGCCATCACCAGTACGGCTGACAGCAAATGCAACCTAAGCATGTTTCTCAGCGTTTAATCAATAGTGGCGATAGGACAATTACTCCCTTATAGACAATCCATCTCACCCTATCAAGAAGGAGGGTCTTCACAGGTGATCTGGATGGAGAGGCCCTAGCCAACACCACTTCTGTTGCCTCTGGGGTTGAGGACTGCCTAGAAGCTAGACGCTTACTAGAGTATCACCAAAAAGCAGAACAGGCAGGGGTCTGGGGTGACTTAAGGAAGTCACCCTTGGGTCTGAGTTCCAGATGAGACAGGACAACAGGGAGAGCAGGCCCTTCAGTCCAACCAGAAGATTTGATTGCTAAGTTCTGTGATTAGACCCTAAAGTGTTTGAGGATAAGAACCTGTTGCTAAGTTAATAGTCTATGTATGCTCAAAGACTGGCTGACTAACCCTAGAGAGAGCTTTGAGAAAAAAAAAAAAAAAAAAAAAAAAAAAAAAGACTACAAACTGTCACTTTCCTTTGAGGTTAAAAAAAAATCTGGTTGTTTTCTTGCCAGATATAAGAAGATACTAACCCTTCACTGAGCTGTCTTTCTCTGTGGAGTTCAGGCAATCTCTACACAAAAGCACAGAAGCATTTTTGCAGGAGTCAAGCCAGGCACATCGGTGTGGGTATCCGCCTTCACGCTTACCTAGTCTCCTCCTTTCCTCACCTCTGTATCTGTGTCGTCAGTGGGTATGTGGAGAGTTTCACAGTCCAGCCTGCCGAGCAGGCTGTTAATGAGTCATGCCTGCTCCCTGCCTTAACTTTGGCACAGTCTCAATCTCTGTGAAGAGAGACAGAACAGAGAAGGGAAAGGTGTTTTGAAAACACTTGCTTATGTTGATACATGTTTCATTGTTGCAGATCTAGCCATAGAATAGGTAATAGGATGGCAAGGCATCAGAGTTTCTTCCAGAAATATTAACAGATTTATTCCACACATATTTTTGCATCTCGGTTATAGATTATGACGCCCTGGCCTCGGCCACAGGGGTAGGATGGAAACAGGAAGGCCATCAGGCCAAACAGAATGGGTGAGTATTCAGCATCCAGCTTGACTACTAAACTGCCAGGCGACCATGAGCAAGTTACACATCCTTCTGTGCTTCGAGTTTCTCCTCGATGAAATAGCTACTTTTATACCAAGGCTGTGGGGAGGACTCGAGAAGATTATACCTCGCCGGGTGTGGTGGCTCATGCCTGTAATCCCAGTATTTTGGGAGGCTGAGGATCACAAGGTCAGGAGTTTGAAACCATCCTGACCAACATGATGAGACCACGCCTCTACAAAAATTAGCTGGCTGTAGTGGTGCGCACCTGTGATCCCAGCTACTTAGGAGGCAGAGGCAGGAGAATTGCTTGAACCTGGGAGGCAGAGGTTGCAGCGAGCTGAGATCACACCACTGCACTCCAGCCTGGCAACAGAGCCAGACTCCGTCTCACACACAGCAAAAAAAAAAAAAAAAAAAAAAAAAAAAGGAAAAAAAGAAAAAGAACATTATGCCTGTAGCAATGCCAGAAACAACAGGCATTCTGTAACCACTACTTGCCTTCTTCCCTATCTTATTTTGGGTTTTAAGCATAGCAGACCCAGAGACAAGGATTCCAGGACACAAGGGATGCTGCAGGGGAGTGAGGAAGTGAAGCAGAGATTGGGAAGCTGCCAGTAAACATATGTTACTAAGCAGATACCAGTGCGGGTCTTGGAACTTAATCCTGCAGGGGAACAGTGCCACACAGAGCCTCGGAATTATTCCCCCTGAGGGAGGAGAGTGCTGGGGTATTTATACACCTATTTCCAAGAATCACTGGTTGAGGGCTACTGGGAGGGGAGTAGATTAATTGCCAGGCAATTTCAGCCTGCTGCGTGGCTTCACCCTCTGTTGTTCTGGGGCCCTCAGCACAGAGATGCAGATTCTGGCAATAGGCAGAAAGCTGAAGCAGGTTGGCTGCCCTAGGGACCTGGGCAGGGCAATGACAGGCACAGTGGGGAAAACTGAGGCATCGAAAACACTGTAGTTTCCATCAAGAAGCCACCACTCTAATAAAGAAGATAAGGCCATCGAAGCTTCAAAGCAAAAGGTTCATGATGCCAAGATGTCTGCAGTTTCGAGGAGAGATTGGCACCTGGATCTCCCCAGGGTGGTACTTGCAACATTCAGGCCTTTGGCTCTCAGCCCTGAATTTGATCTATCAGCAGCTGGAGAGTGAATTCAGAGGAGCTGTTAGACTCATGTTAACCAAAACCCACTGAGTCTGAGCAGAAAACCAGAATGCCCACGTATTGATTGGCACTCTCCCTCTGCAGGTTAAGCTTCATGAGAGACCAAATTACAGTATGAAAGTGGGTTTGTAAGTGGAGATTCAGAAAAACAGATGCTATAGCATTCACTGAGGAACTCTTCTCCGGTGAAGAGATCGCCTTGACGCAGGGTTATTTAGAGGGAAACCCTTTATCCTCAAATTCCTGTCTGGCTCTGCCAAGCGTAGACTCTGACTCCCTTATCCATAGCTTCCTGAGGGACAGGGTGTGCAGTGGTTAAGAGTGAAGACTCTGGAGTCAGGATGCCCCTTGTTAAAATCTTGTCCCATCATTGCACTAGCTGTGTGACTTTGGGCAGCTTTTTAATCTCTCTGCATCTGGTCTCTCATCCATAATAGTACCTATTCCTATTTTATAGAATTGTTATATAGATTAAATATAATGTATGTGAAGAGCCTGAGATAGTAGGTGATGCATAGTCAGGTGTTAGTTGTCATTATTGCTGCTATTAAGAACCCCCTTTTAAGCTGACACAGTCATTTTTAGGTATGTTAATAGTCTTTAGCAAGCTTTATGTTGTTCTTGGAACCAGTTAGTCTTATTAAGGGACCTTTGCAGATCTCTATTCATAGAGCCTATAGTCTACAATGTGTTCCATATACTTAAAGTTTGCTAAGAGGGTAGATTTTTTTGTTAAATGTTCTTACCAAACTAAATGAAACTACAACAGGAATAATAATAACACTAAAGAGAGTGGGAGGAAACTTTGGGAGATGATGGATATGGTCATGCCTTGATGGTGGTGACAGTTTCATGGGCGTATACCTATCCCCAGAGTCATCCAAATGTACATGTTATATATGTACACCTTTTTATCTAACTTCAACAAAGTGGTTTAAAAGGGAAGGGTCTTTGATATCATCATCTTAAGAGGTCTGTCATTTGTGTGTTTGGGAGTCGGGGGTGCCTCATTTCTCCTTCCATTGTCCTGACTATACATATACATACAAAAACAACTCTATTGCAGAACAACTTGGACAGGACTCTAGGTGGCAGGGGGTGCAGAGGCCAGAGGACTCCTGGAATCATGGAGCCGAAGCACTGGAACTGCACTTGACTGGTGGCTGAACAGGCAGCAAGCCTAGAATTTCATGTTAGGAGGGTATTTTCAATAGTTGCACAATCGAGAATATCATTAAGTGTTTGGCTCTGGAATGCAGTCTGGGACTCTGCCAAGTATATCTCTCTTACAACTTGGGGGCAAAGCAACAAATCAGAGCCACTGTCAGTTTTAGCCCTAATAAGTGAAGTGTGCTCCAGAGATCCCAACTCATTCAGGAGGACAATGGGACCCCTTGAAGAGCGAATGAAATGCATCAGTACAGAATGTACACGTTCAAAAATCCATCAGTTGGCTTGGTGCAGTGGCTTGTGCCTCTAATCCCAGCACTTTGGGAAACTGAGGTGCAAGAATTGCTTGAGACCAGGAGTTTGAGACCAGTATGGGTGCCAAAGAGAGGTCTGTCTCTACAGAAATTTAAAAATTAGCCATGTGTGGTGGCACACATCCATAGTCCCAGCTACTGAAGCTGAGGCAGGAGGATTTCTTGAGCACAGGAGTTTGAGGCTACATTGCACCACTCCACTCCAGTCTGGGCAACAGAACAAGTTCCTGTCACCCCCCACCACCAAAAAAAAAAAAAAAAAAGAAAGAAAAAAAAAGGAAAATCTATGACCTGCAAGCGGAAGGGACATTATTGCTAAAGATCCTACACAGCCCGGGGGAATAAAAGGATTCTTGAGAAGTGAATGAAAAGCATCACCACAGAATATAAACGTTGAGAGAGCTGTAAGGACGCTTAGCAGCACCAAGTGTGATAGAAACGACGCAGAATGAGAAGTTCAAGTTCCACTCTCAAATGGGCAATGAGGCTTTGGGAAGTCATTGAGCGTCTCTGGACTAATAGAGTCTTTCTCTGTCAAGTGAAAAGTTTGACTAGTTCTGTAAGATATGTTCCAAGTCTAACACTATCCTGTGATTCCCACTATTAGGATGGATAGAAGGGTGAAGGAGCTATTTCAGATGGAAAATAAAAATATCAGTGTTCCTTAAAATTTTTCCCCTATCAATCCACCATCCCTGGCAAGAAATCTTCATGTACTAAAATGAAGCCAATTAACATTCCTTACTACTGCTCTGTCATAAATCATCGTTAACTTGAAGAAGGCAGATGGGTGTGTAGCTATAAGACATATTCTTATAGATTAGTTTGTTCACATCCCACAAATTTAATGTCATAAAGCAAGAATCCTATTTCCATCTTCAGAAGCACGGTTTACTGCAGACTCTCAGGTGTGCGTGGGCAGAAAAGATGCAGCTCGCTTAATGAGATGAGGACTCAGAGCTATCCACTGAGGCTGAGCAACGTGGTGACTTGGTAAGAGCAACTTTGGTGGGGCGGTGGCAGGGGAGCCTGATTGGAGAGGCTTAGGGGAGAATGAGAGAGGAGAAATCGCAAACGGTGGGAATAGACAGGCCTTTTCCAAGGTTTTGCTATAAAGGGAAAGAGATATTAATAAATGCAGGGCAGTGGAGTCAAGGGTTTCCTTCCCTCTCCCACCCTCCCCCACCCCCACAGCCCCCCCACAAATGAGAAACTAACAACATACTTGTGGCTAAGAATTATTTGGTAGAGAGGGGACCTGACCCAATAGGCATGGTTGAAATTTAATTAAGGTTTTGGCTTTGCCAAGCCACTTCCAGAGAGAGAAGCAAAGGAGTCAGGTCTGTGTGCAAGGGAATGGTTATAAAGATAGACGATGGAATTAAACTGGATAGGAGCGGGAGAGAGGATGCCAAGGGAGGTGAAACAGGGAGAAGGTGACAGGATTCTTGGATTGAAGTCCTGGAGTTGTAGAAGGATTGGTTGTGTTGTGATACAGAGAGAACAAGCTGGAGAGATCATAGGTGCTGGTAAGAGAGTAGGATGTCTGAAATCTAGATTTTGGAGGTACTGAAATTATTAATAATTACAAAGTCAAAGATGATATAACCATAGAGGGGAATTACAGAGATTGAGGCAATGACAAGGGCTTCAGAGAAAGGAGATTAAGGAACTGCCAGGCCAGGGCATTGGAAAGAATATCTGATTATTAAAATCACAGGAATAATAATTGGACTGGTTTTGAAGAGATGTCAGTGAATTGGTTGCTACAGTTTTGAAGGTGTGAGGGTACTGGCCTTGGGGTCAGTTGATGGCTCAAACCAGGGGGTGAGGAGGTGATAGTAGCTGATTAGTGAGATTTAAAGCTGAGTGTTTTTAGAAAGAAGTGAAGGAGACTAGGCTTGAGGCAACAATGTGGAACATGAAGAGTATCTATTCCACCTCGGACTCCATCATACAAAGGATACGTAGCTACCAGACCACCCAAGAGGGCTGCAGGGGAAGACACATCCTCAAGTAGGCCACAGAAAAATGTCAAGGAATGTTCTTGGAAGAGGCTGAGAATATAGGGCAGGT